CCATCTACTGTGGTTCCAAGGACATCCTAACAGTATATAGGACCTTAGTAATGTGGTGGTGAGGTATGAAGGGAGGAGAAGGGTTCTATAGTCCTATGAGGAGGGCTTGGTCTTTTAGTGAGCCTATGCCCTTGAACTGTGAATGCCACAAGTGCCTTTTAGTACCCCAGTCCCACACTTTAGGTGGGACAGATGGCTACAGGGGCTGGAGTTGAGTAATTCCCTGTCACGTGTGGAAGAGGGGGATGGAGTTGGGTATTTTCTTTCCCCCCAGGTTAGTTTTGCTCTGATAAAAATTCCAATAGTTTAGGCTCTATTAAAATAGTTTCTCTTGAATGCAGGCCTTATTGAAAAGAACAGAATGCTCTGGCATATTTCAAAATGGTTACTTTTCCCTTTTCCCTGTCAATCTCTCAAGAGTTTTCAAGGGTTTTTTGTTTTTGTTTTTTTTCTTCTTCTTCTGGTATTCATTGTGAGAACCTGGTAGACCTTTAGGAAGTGAAACTCACAAAAGCATGTGCCCCTTCTCCTGGAGTTTTTAACTCAGACTTATCCACATGGAGCATCCAGAATTCGTCAATTACACTTTGCGTTTTCCAGTCCAGTACTGGTTTCCATGGAGGTTTCTGCTCATTGGTTTCTGTTCTGCTAAGTTGTGCTTCCCTGGATGGCCTGTCTCTCAAATTTTGGGGACAGGATTTTATCCTGTCATCTCACAACCCTAAGAGATCTAATAAGAGTATTGAACTTCCGGGGCGCCTGGGTGGCGCAGTCGGTTAAGCGTCCGACTTCAGCCAGGTCACGATCTCGCGGTCCGTGAGTTCGAGCCCCGCGTCGGGCTCTGGGCTGATGGCTCAGAGCCTGGAGCCTGTTTCTGATTCTGTGTCTCCCTCTCTCTCTGCCCCTCCCCCGTTCATGCTCTGTCTCTCTCTGTCCCAAAAAAATAAAAAAAAAAAAAAAAACGTTAAAAAAAAATTAAAAAAAAAAAAAAAGAGTATTGAACTTCCAGTTTGTTCAGGTTTTTATTTGTTGTTAGGATGAAGTGGCAACTTTCAAGCTGCTTACATGCTGGAACAGAAACTGAAAGTCCTAAATCTGATATTTAATTGGTGAGTGTGTTCTCACCATGCACACCCCTGTTCACCCTGTTCACACTCTACTGGACTTCCTTATTCCCATTTGAGATTCCTAACTCTAACAGGACTGTGTTCAATCTACCTTGGCTCGTCTGAGCAGTTATGACATGCAACCATGAACAGTGAAGAAAAAGACAAATCTATCAGAGACTTGAGTTGTTTGAAAGAAAGGAGGGTCACCTGGGTGGCTCAGTCGGTTAAGCTTCCGACTTCAGCTCAGGTCATGATCTCCCGTCCGTGGGTTGGAGCCCCGCATCAGGCTCTGTGCTGACAGCTCAGAGCCTGCCTGGAGCCTGCTTTGGATTCTGTCTTTGTCTCTCTCTGTCTGTCTCTCTCTCTCTCTGCTCCTCCCCCACTCACTCTCTGTCTCTCAAAAAATGAATAAATTGTTAAAAAAATTGTTTTTTAAAAAGAAAAGAAAGGAGATCAACTTTTTATAAAACTCAGAAATGGATATTATTTGGTATTTCTTCATTGGTTTATTTGATAAGAATTTTTTTAATTAAAAAAATCTGCTTTATAGCCTTGAAATTTCTCTTATACAGGCAGGAATGGGTGCATAACCAGGATTTACTGAAGGACTAAACTAGAGGCCCTTTGTAAGTAGCATTTCTGTATACTCTGTGGTATAACTTTGCTAAAAGATCTCTTAAAAATAACCCTGATGATGGGTGCCTGGGTGGCTTAGTCAGTTAAGCGTCTGACTTCAGCTCAGGTCATGATCTCAAGGTTTGTGAGCTAAAGCCCCACATTGGGCTTTGCACTGACAGTGCAGAGCCTGCTTGGGATTCTCTCTCCCTCTCTCTCTGCACCTCCCCTGCTTGTGCTCTCTCTCTCTCTCTCTCTCAGAGTGAATAAATAAACTTAAAAATTAAAAAAAATAAATAACCCTGAGGCAAGATGGCAAAACTCTTCTTCTAGCCAGCAGGCCATGAATGAAAAGACATGGGGCAATCTCCACTCCCTCTGAATGAATCACTAAATCAACTAAGGTAGAAGGGAGGGAAATGGAAAGAAGCTCCTTGCCGGAGAGAGTGGGATCAGAGCATTCTTGCATGTCTGAGTGCTAGAACCCTACTCAATGATAAGAAATGTCTCTCTCAAAAATGTTAGCTCATTTGGAATTTGGGGTATTAAGAGCTTCATTTTTCATTTTCTTTTAACTCATGTAAATGGCTTATCACTTCAATGAACAAATATTTCATTCTTTTTCAGTATATTCATGAGTTAAATTTAAAATGAGCACTGCACATGTAGACTTTTATGAACATTGTAACATCAGACACAAAACCTATCTAGCAATCTTCACAGTATCATAAAGAAAGAAGTTGATAAAAATTCAAGCAGCAGAAGGGGGCAGTAAAACTCAACAGAATGCTCTGGAAGATTTTTAATATGCTTTCTTATTTTCCTTCATGCAGAGAATTTCCCAACACATTTTAGAGACTAAGAAAGTTTATACTATATATAAATATATATAGTATAAATTTATATATAGTATATATATATATAATATATAGTATATATTTATATATATGTTTATGTGTGTGTGTGTGTGTGTGTGTGTGTGTGTGTGTGTGTGTGTGTCTAAAATACACACAGAGGGGCGCCTGGGTGGCTCAGTCGGTTGAGCAGCCGACTTCAGCTCATGTCATGATCTCACGGTCCGTGAGTTCAAGCCCCGCGTCGGGCTCTGTGCTGACAGCTCAGAGCCTGGAGCCTGTTTCAGATTCTGTGTCTCCCTCTCTCTGACCCTCCCCGTTCATGCTCTGTCTCTCTCTGTCTCAAAAATAAATAAACGTTAAAAAAATAAAATAAAATAAAAAAATAAATAAAATACACACAGAAACACTAAATATATACAAAAGTGAGAGCTATGGTTTTGCATAATCAAAACCTTATTTTTTATGGTGTGATACATCATGGCACAGTAATCATAGTACTTTTCCACCTAAAATATGTGTAGCCATCTGGAGTTGGTTTGGGACATTTAACATCCCCTCGTGACTAGCATCCCAATATGTACTATCCATTCGATTTCACGTTCTCACACTTGTCAAAATTATTTAATAAATCATATCATGATGGTTTTTCCTCAAGCCCATATTTGGACTTCCTTTCTAAACTGTGCCCTTTCTTGGGGCGCCTGTGGCTCAATCAGTTAAGCGTTTGACTTTGGCTCAGGTCATGACCTCACTGTTCATGAGTTCGGGCCCTGTGTCAGGCTCTGTGCTGATAACAATGAGGATGACTTCAACATAAATTCTGGATTACAATGTAAAATTTCAATACACCAGCAGAGCCAGGGTATGGATTCTTAAGTGACACCTAAACTAGCTCAAATTAGTGGTCCTAAATATCAGTTTAAAATTTGAGTAGACACAACCTACTTATTTAAAGTGAAACAGAAAAGTGGAATTATTTCAAAAAATTATGCTCTTAGTTAAAATTTTATATAAGACTTAGTACAATATGTGGGAGTGTCACAAATGGAATGATTAAATATGACTAGAGGAGGAGAAAAGCTTCCTGGATGAGATGGAATTTTAGTCATTTGTGTCTCATGTAAAATTAGATACTGTGTACATTAAGCAAATGGCAAGAAAAAAAATTCCAAGTGAGTCTCTTTTTTTTTTTCTTCAAGACTTCTACAAATTGAGGTATCTGGTGTAGATTTACTTCAGGTTTTATGTTGTTTTTTCCATTAGTGCTAAGAATGTATGGCTTAATTGAACTTTTTATTCTCCACTTTGCTATCTTTCTCTTTTTCTCTCTCCTTCCTTCCTTCCATCCTTCCTTCCTTCCTTCTTGCTTGGATTTCACCCTCCTACCACCAAAAGATATTAAATAAAAACAAAGGACAAAGAAATTCAAAATTGTCAAAATCATCCATCTTTTCCACTCAATTCCTCATCAAACCATGTTCCAAAAATGAGAATAGAAAATTTGCACTAATAAGCCCAGACAACTGAAACATAAATGCAGTGTTGTACTTTGATCCATTGCCACATTCATCATCTTGGAAAAGTGGTCAGAAAAGACAAAAAACCAAATTTTAAGGATCTTTTTCCTTTTATGTGTATCTCCTGCGAAGGGTTGCTAAGCAAAGTGAACCGCGCGCGGGGCCAAGAAAGAAATGCTTTAAAGCAGATGTTGTGGGCATTTAGCATCCTCGCAGACCCTGGGCGCCTTACCTTCCTGTTTTCATCAGAGGAGAGGAAACGTTATCGTGGTGATCCCTCAAGCTCAGATGGACTATTGACAGTATAACTGCTTAGGAGCAGTATTGTGGAGAGGAATTAACATTTTTTTCTGTCTCCAAGAAGCAAGGAAGGGGTGGGGGTGTGGAGAACAACATTTATGTGAAGAGCAGCTTAGCTTTGAAGTTACAGATATGTACTCTGACTATAGCTATTACATTTCATCCTGCCAAATTAAAAAAACAAAAACAAAAAACAATGTATAGATGTATGTATGTGCTGCATATACTCCAGGTTAAGGGTCGTCACTAAAGTGGTGACATGTTTGAAGTACATGACGTGTAAAACATGTCAGCCTTTCTTGGCCCCGTCTGCCCAGACTGTGACTCCTCCGGCCCCCCAAAGACCTGAGGATGAGACATGGGGGCGGCCGCGCCGGGGGATTCCCTGCGCTCTGGGACCTCCAGCCGCTTGGATTCCGGGAGAGGAAGCCGAGTGTCTCCCCTCCCCCCAAGGGAATCCGCCGAGGCACCGGGTCCGGAAAGCTCCGGGTCAAAGACTGAGAGAAAGGGAATCTGGCGCAAATTGCATTCTGGACCTGAGGGACTGAGGAAGGTGAAGCGGGAGATCGGAGCAAGAAGGGGGTCAATTCGCTTTGCACCCGCCTTGGGGAAGCCGAGGGCAGCTTCCCAGGTTTCCGATTTTCTCATTTGCGTGGGTAAAACTCCTGCCCCCACTCGGGTCTTACGCAATTAAGCAGACAGGGGGAGGGGGAGAGTTGGGGGGGTAAAAAAAAAAAAGCGGAAACAAATAGTCATGTCGTCACGTGGGCTTAGTTTTCACTCATAAAAGGAAGGTTCTCTCCGTTAGCTTCCAGTTGTCAAACGACTTGCAGCGAGCGTCAGGAAACGCACGGGAACTTCGCACAGCGCCACCTCCAGCTCCGCCGCGGGAGCCCAAATACGGCAACGCCTCCGCCCGCCCGCGCTCCGCCCGTCGCCGAGATGCTTGCCCGCGCCTTGCTGCTCTGCGCCGCCCTGGCGCTCTGCCGTGCAGGTGGGTCTGGCTCCCTGCACCGGGGAACCCTCGGTACCGTAACCCCGGACGAGGTTCCGCTCTGACCTCCCGGGTCCTCCCGGTACTGTGAACAGTCCCGGAATGGAGACGATGTTTGACTTGGTAAAGAGGTTGCACCATTGGAGTCCAAGGGAACTGGGTGTATATTCCACCTTTTGCTACAAGCTCTGATCATCATGAGCCAGTTACTTAACCGGTGTGGGTCTCACGTTTCTCATCTTGCTAAATAGGAATAGTGATACTAATTTGCAGATTGTTATTACGGTAAGACAGGAACAATCAATGTATGTGAAATGTTTGTGTGTGGTGCCTACTATTAGAGAATAGGAATCAATATTTTAAAAACAAGCTGTTTTTGGGGCGCCTGGGTGGCGCAGTCGGTTAAGCGTCCGACTTCAGCCAGGTCACGATCTCAAGGTCCGTGGGTTCGAGCCCCGCGTCGGGCTCTGGGCTGATGGCTCGGAGCCTGGAGCCTGTTTCCGATTCTGTGTCTCCCTCTCTCTCTGCCCCTCCCCCGTTCATGCTCTGTCTCTGTCTGTCCCATAAATAAATAAAAAACGTTGAAAAAAATTTTAAAAACAAGCTGTGTTTACATTGAAATTTACCCTAAATTTACCCTTTAATTTTGAAAGTGCTACTTTTTTGAGCTCCTTAAAAATGCTGAACATCTAAAATGTTACTAAGAAAAAGCTTAGCAACATGACTAATGTGGTTGAATATTGTTACCCTTATTGTTGAATGGGAGTTGGTATTTTCATTATGATCATTGTATGTGACAGGTTAAAAAAACTTTTCCCATGACTACATGTATGTTTCTTGTATTTATTAATATAAAGTTGACCTATAGTATGTAAAACAACTAAATGTTTAAGTCAAAATTAAGAAACTAAATGACTTATATCCTGTCCTTACTTTTATTGTAGCAAATCCTTGCTGTTCCAACCCATGCCAAAACCAAGGTATATGCCTGAGCATAGGATTTGACCAGTATAAGTGTGACTGTACCCGAACAGGATTCTATGGTGAAAACTGTTCAACACGTAAGTTTGCCCTTGGGTGCCCTCATTGGGACTGGGAATGTATCCAGTTATCACTTTACAAACTAGTACCTTATAATGGGTCCTGTTAATCTCTCCTTTTTTTTTTTTCTTCTTTTTTGCAGCTGAATTTCTGACAAGAATAAAGTTATTCCTGAAACCCACTCCAAATACAGTGCACTACATACTTACCCACTTCAAGGGAGTCTGGAACATTGTCAATAACATTCCCTTCCTGCAAAATATAATTATGAAATATGTGTTGACATGTAAGTACAAGTCCCTTTCTAAGGTTTTTAGCTTCTTCAAAGAAAAATGCACTTTATAGAACTTTAAGTTATTAAACCTAATCCTGAAATATATTTTCATTCTTGTTATAAAATGACTTTAGTTTTCCTTCTATCTTAATGGCCAAAAATATTGACATCTCAGTTTCATCTGGTTTAGAAAGTTCTGTCCCACTTCGAATTCTACGTACAATCCTGTACACCTCTTCTAAAGTCACTACTCTTGCCAGTTTGTGAAGGAAGTGTAGTCCACTTGTTTACTAAATGTCCATGGGCCATAGCATTGCATCCATTAAAATAAATGGTTAATCTGGATTTGGGTGAGCAAGAAAATAACTTTATTTCTAAAGTGGGTTTCATGCCCAGGTATTCCTTCGTAGGCCTCTTATGCAGTAAGTAGATGATTATTTGAAAACTCAAGATGGCTAGATCATGTTTGGGTAAAGTATATATACTTTATTAAAGATGCATTTTATTTTATTTTTTTAATGTTATTAATGTTTTGAGAGAGAGCATGAGCAGGGAAGGGATAGAGAGAGAGGGAGACACAGAATCCGAAGCAGGCTCCAGGCTCTGAGCCTGATGTAGGGCTCAAACTCACTAACCCGGAGGTCATGACCTGAGCCAAAGTGGAAGCTTAACCCACTGAGCCACCCAGGTGTCCCAAAGTGCATTTTAATGAATCATTCTTTCTGATTTTTTTAGTACAAGCAGCAGTGAGACTTTAAAGTGTAACTGTTTTACAATGGGTTATCTTTGGTTGTTGGAATTCAGTTCAGTCTTTAGTGCCACTTTGCCCATTTTACAGTAAAAATGAACGTTGGTGTGTCTTGAGTATGGGAAAAGATAAAACAAAATTTTTGTTTTCTTGAAAATTTCAGCCAGGTCACATTTGATCGAGAGCCCACCAACTTACAATGTGGACTATGGCTATAAAAGCTGGGAAGCCTTTTCCAATCTCTCCTATTATACCAGAGCTCTTCCCCCTGTGGCTGATGACTGCCCAACACCCATGGGTGTGAAAGGTGAGTGTGTGGGGGGGGGTAGAGAGGTGTTCATTGCAATAGGGACTAGATTGCTACCTAAAAAATTCAACACTGAACTGTAATTTGTTAATAAAAGCACTTTTTTTTTTTTTTTTTTTTTTTTGCTTTCTTATTGGGTATCTGTGGAGGGTTTTTGTTTTGTTTATTGTTGTTGTTTGATTGTTTTGTTTTGTTTTTTTTTTTTGAGAGTGTGACTTTCTGTAAACTATCCTATGAAAGTGAATGGGCATTTTGGTGTAATGTCTTCATGTTTTCAAATTCTTTCATTAATACTAAATTAATACCAGTTAAAATACTAGTTAAAATAGATAACATCATTCAATAAGGTGTTCCCTGTATCTTAGAATTTCCATTTGCATTATAACCCTGTTCACAATTGTATTTCTCCCACAAGTCCCCATTTACTATCTGCTTCCTTAATATGTAGATGAATTCTTATCTTAGCTTTCTCACTTTTCAGGCAAGAAAGAGCTTCCTGATTCAAAAGAGATTGTGGAAAAATTTCTTCTAAGAAGAAAGTTCATTCCTGACCCCCAAGGCACAAATATGATGTTTGCATTTTTTGCCCAACACTTCACCCATCAATTTTTCAAGACAGATCATAAGCGAGGACCAGCTTTCACCAAAGGACTGGGCCATGGGGTAAGATAGAATTAAATTGGAATTATAGCAAAAATCATACTGAGTGCTAATATTAAAGGCCATATATATATATTTGCTACACCAAATAATTACCCCTCTTTTTAAAAAATCCCCTGTCTATAAATGGAATTTCTATTCCAGAAATGTGTATTAATGGAATTTCCATTTTAATTCACTGGCTTAGTAAAAATACACACATGCACACACACATGCATACATACAGATGTTATAATTATTTGTAATTTGGCTCTTATATTTTTAGTTTAAAATATTAGCACTGTAAAAACTTGTCTCTTCAAACTTTTGTTGGTACCCTGATTATGCTGCTATTATGAGATTTTTGCTGCATTATTATTCCTTGGAATTCAATGACACAGTTTCAATTTATCAGTAAGAATTTTATATTAATAATACATTTTCTGATGCTTATTAAAAGAAATACCATACACTTATAGTAAAGCATATTATATACTTATAGCCTCCATATGAGATACAAATATCTTTAAACACAAGAGACATATATAGGTTTGTGGTGTCAGTGGATAAACGAATTAATTTAGTATTTTGTGGCTGTGAGAAAAATAGGTATTTTATCAAACTATTTAATGATAAATGATATTACAGACACTTTGTAGAACTTCAACGGTAACAAATAAAATTTTTCCATAATCTTCCAGGTGGACTTAAGTCATGTTTATGGTGAAACTTTGGATAGACAGCATAAACTGCGCCTTTTCAAGGATGGAAAAATGAAATACCAGGTGTGTGCCATTTGAGTATTAAGAATTAATGATGAGTCACCACTTACCCATATTTTAGAATCTGTAGTGGTTAAAATTTGACATTTTTATTATTGTTATTTTTTTAGATAATCGATGGGGAGGTGTATCCTCCCACAGTCAAAGATACTCAGGTCGAGATGATCTACCCACCTCATGTTCCTGAACACCTGCGGTTTGCTGTGGGCCAGGAGGTCTTTGGTCTGGTGCCTGGTCTGATGATGTACGCCACAATTTGGCTGCGGGAACACAACAGAGTGTGTGATGTGCTTAAACAGGAGCATCCAGAATGGGATGATGAGCGGTTGTTCCAGACGAGCAGGCTAATACTGATAGGTAAACAAGAAGAGAAGTGAATTTAAATAAAACCCTCTTCCCCAGAGACAACTAGTTACCTTTGATATGTTTTAAGTAGTTCTGGGAGACTGTAGTCAATGTAAAATCACATGCTCCAGATGAATTCAATCCTTGAGCATGATTGGTAATAGAAATACCTTTTGTTTGGATGGTATAAAGGAAAAAATACAAGTGAATACTGGATTAACAGAATTGCATTTCAGCTGCATGAAAGTTGGTAACCAGAGGATTAATGCTCTAATTTTTTTGTTTTGTGTAAATAGGAGAAACCATTAAGATTGTGATTGAAGACTATGTACAACACTTGAGTGGCTATCACTTCAAACTGAAGTTTGACCCAGAGCTGCTTTTCAACCAACAATTCCAATACCAAAACCGTATTGCTGCTGAGTTTAACACACTCTACCACTGGCATCCCCTTCTGCCTGACACCTTGCAAATAGATGACCAGGAGTACAATTTCCAGCAGTTTGTCTACAACAACTCTATATTACTGGAACATGGGCTTACCCAGTTCGTGGAATCATTCAGCAGGCAAATTGCTGGCAGGGTAAGCCTTATTATTGAAAAACGAAACAAAGGATTAGTAACTAGAATTTCTGCCACTGAAATGATTTTTCTTAAATTTACTGAAAGAGTAATTATTTTGTTAGTGAATTCTTTTCTTGAAAAAGAAGCCTACCTTTTTTTTGAAAAGTCTGAACTTGTAGTCTACAGTTATCAAACAGAAATATGCAGTCATCCCTTAAATATATTTTCAAAAACTTTCTATAATTATACAATCTATAGATCATAGAAATAAATATTCCTTAATTTTTTTAATGTGTATTTAGTTTTGAGAAAGAGAAAGGCAGAGTATGAGAATCCAAAGCAGAGAGCCCGACGTGGGGCTTGAAGTCATGAACTGTGAGATCACGACCTGAGATGGAGCTGTATACTCAACCCACTGAGCCACTCAGGCACCCCTAGAAATAAAATTTCTAAATTGGATAGTGTAGGTCTCAGCTGGGAACATCAGTCTTATCTACTTTGTACCCAAGGAATGAATGTTTTTAAGACAGAAATCACCATAAATATGCCTAAAAGTTTTGTCCTGTAACTTAATTCATTTTCCATAGGTTGCTGGTGGTAGGAATGTTCCAGCTGCAGTGCAGCAAGTAGCAAAGGCCTCAATCGACCAGAGCAGACAGATGAAGTACCAGTCTCTTAATGAGTATCGCAAACGCTTTCGGCTGAAGCCCTATACATCGTTTGAAGAACTCACAGGTGAGAAACTTCTTAAAAGAATCAAGGGTCAAATGGAAACAACAGAGAAGTTGAAAGCAAATTGAGCAAAGGATTAAAAGGATTAAAACGTTTTTTTGGTAAAGTTTTACATTGGTTGTATATCTGTCTTTGTCACCTTCACAGGAGAGAAGGAAATGGCTGCGGGGTTAGAAGCACTTTATGGTGATATTGATGCCATGGAGCTGTATCCTGCCCTTCTGGTAGAAAAGCCTCGCCCTGATGCCATCTTTGGTGAGACCATGGTAGAAATGGGAGCACCATTCTCCTTGAAAGGACTTATGGGTAATCCTATATGTTCTCCTGACTACTGGAAGCCTAGCACTTTTGGTGGAGAAGTAGGTTTTAAAATCATCAACACTGCCTCGATTCAGTCTCTCATCTGCAATAACGTGAAGGGCTGTCCTTTTACTGCATTCAGTGTTCAAGATCCACAGCTCACCAAAACAGTCACCATTAATGCAAGCTCTTCGCACTCTGGACTGGATGATATCAATCCCACAGTACTGCTAAAAGAACGTTCAACTGAACTGTAGAAGGGTATTAATCCTATTTATTTATTTATATGGACTATTTCTTTTAACTTAATTATTTAATATTTATGTTAAACTCCCTATGTTACTTAACATCTTCTGTTAAGGAGAAAGGGGTCATACTTGTGAAGATTTTCATGTCACTGCTTTAAAGATGTCATTCCTTCAGGTTAAAGGGGAAAACAGTTTTCATTCTTTTTTATAAACTGATGGGAAATGAGTTTGACATCCTTTTACTTGAATTTCAGTTTAAATTATTTATAATAACAAAAGCAAAGCTGTTTGGACATTTAAATGCTGGTCCAAGATGGCAAAATGCTGCAAGTTTTTTTTTCCAGTGTATACCCTGGGATTTCCAGTGTATCCTCCATGATGCATTAGAAGCAACTACCTGCACCTGTTCCTTTTCTTTTCTTCTGTTAGCCATTGTACTGGGAGAAACTCTCTTCTGATCAGTTTACTCCTTCTATTTTGTTTTCTTGATTTTAAGATCTGAGTTCATCTTTCGGTGGACTCTATTTTCTTTCTTATCATTTCCCTCTGTCTATATTTTCATATCTGAACTTTTGCAAGTTTTCAGGAAAACCTCAACTCAGGACTACTAGTAACTTAGCTCCTCTTAACAAAAATGAAAGAGAAAAAAAAAAACAGCCCTTATAAAAGCCTCTACAAAAGGACATACACTTATTTTAAGTGAAAAGCAGAGAACTTTATTTATAGTTAATTTTAACTAAGTGTAATGGAAGAAGCCTCTTTGTAGGCTTACATGTAGGCTTTGAACGCATTACGGAGAACTGCAGGGGGTTCTTGATAGAGGAAAGTTGTATTTCTATTCTAATGAATGTCCTTTCTTCTTGAAAAACAAAGCCAAACAATTCCTGAATAGTTCCCAGGAAGAACATGTTTCTTCTTTTCCACATCTCATTGTCAGCTGACATTTGCTGGTACTGTATACTACTTAATTTATTGAGGATTATTATTTATGTCTTGTTAGGACGTTATTATAAACTAGGTTTAGGCTGCAATCATTGATTTTTTTTTTCATTATGTGAGAATCAGTATATCTTCTTTGAGATTAACTCTCTAAATTACTATGTAAACTACAAGAAAAATTATTAGATTAAAATTTCTGAATAAATTTTCAGCAACCCAACTCTGGTATAATGAAATATGGAAGGTTTACCCACACACCAGCCCACAGAGAACACTGTGTCTCATTAGCCTGGATACACCACAAGACTGACCTTTTATACATTTTTTGAAGGACCTGTGGATCCTTCATTAATTCATTCAGCTATAACTTACTGAGGAGATGTGTGCAAAGCACTGTGAGTTTTAATATTTTTAAATCAAGCACTGATTACAGATGACATCAGTATTTGTAAATAATTGCAAAAGCATGTCTTTTAGGTAGAGAAATTGAAATTTCATTAAAGGAAATAACTCAGGGGATTTTTTAAGATTTTATGTTTAAAAATTTTATAGTTAATAAAGAAATGGTTAATATTAGAAGGGCTTGTATTAAAAACTGTTAACTTCATTGATTAAAAAAAAAAAAAACTTTTATTGACATCAACCTGCTGACCAAACCTAGGAATTTGGAATATAATATACAAAGGTTTTGGTGCCTAAGACAAATGTGTATTTAAATTAACTTAATGTCAAATGTAACTGTTGAAACAAATGCCTGTTTATTTTTATACTATTTAAGAATGGAAAAATCTCTTCTACAATAAATTTTGACTGTTTCCATATATCTTTGTCATAAGACATATGATTTCTCTAAAGCGCCGTACTTAAACCATTGTCTTGCATTCTCCTATCTATTCCAAACTAGACTGAACCTTAATGAAATGGTTCTGCCCTCAGAGAGAGACTTTCTAGGGTCACTATCTATTATTCTTGTTCATTGCAACACTGAATTGGAAAATGTGTGCTTTGTGCTATAGGAGATAGAACCAAACTTGTTTTCATTGCCTAATCTAGAAGAAGGGAAGAAAACCAAGTACACCAAAAGCAAAAAGAAGACAAAATTGCTAAGGAGGTACAAAATTAAAAGGAAGTTCAAAGAGGGGGATGTTATGTTCAGTTGGGCAAATCATTAATACCTGGCTGATGGACTTCTGTTGTACTCCTAATGTTGATATTTTGGTAATATCTACATGGACCACCTACTTAATCCTGCCTGGCTTTTCTCTTCCTTAGCCTTCTTCATTCCTGTGATACCTTCTTCCACCATTTCCTATGATTATCCATACCTTGATCTTATCATCAATTGCTGTACCATTTCCAAAATCATTTCCAAAATCTTGGTTTCAAGCATCTTCCTTGACTCACCTTCTAGCTCACCTATTTCAACACTCACACTTTAACATATAACTCTAACTTCACTGAGCCTACTGATCCATTGACCTCATCACTATTCATTACCCCACTTATCTCATTTCCTTCTGTAGGCATCGAGCTCAGTTTCCATTGCCCATCATTATATTCCTTCCTTCATTCTCTCCCTCTATTGTACTTTACTGGTGCAACGTGATTTCAGCCATCCTCCTAATCGGTTTATTTGACTTCTTACTAGCATTCAACGCAAATGCCTACAGTTTCCTTAGTGAAAGATTTTTTTTCCCTTGGTTTCATGGTCTGATACTCTCCTGGTCTTTCTCCACCTTCATGGAGTGCTATTACTCAGATTTTTTTTTTTAATTTTTTTTTTTCAACGTTTATTTATTTTTGGGACAGAGAGAGACAGACCATGAACGGGGGAGGGGCAGAGAGAGAGGGAGACACAGAATCGGAAACAGGCTCCAGGCTCCGAGCCATCAGCCCAGAGCCCGACGCGGGGCTCGAACTCACGGACCGCGAGATCGTGACCTGGCTGAAGTCGGACGCTTAACCGACTGCGCCACCCAGGCGCCCCTCAGATTTTTTTTTTTTAAAAATCTCTTCATTCTCCATTGTATAAATTGAAATCTCTTGATCCCCCTCTTTATCTGCCCTTATCTGGGTTAATCCCATACACACTCATAAATTGAGACATTAATTATAACTCCCAAATTTATGGCTGTAGAACCAATCTCCCAACTGTCAATGACAACCTATCCACTCAACCACATAAATTTAATAGCTTATTTTATAATCTCTGCCCTCTTGGCACCATATACCCAAAATAATAATCTTCAAAAGTTAGGTATACCACCACCTTCTTGTTCTCAAGCAAAAACCTCTCTTTTCATAATGCCCTTAGCCAATCCAGCAGCAATCTTGTTGACTCTAACCCACAAACAAATCCTACACCTGTCACCCTTTCTCTAACTCCAATACTACCAACCTAGTTGATGCAATTATCTCTCAATTGGTTTCCCTTCTTTTATTCTTTGCCTCATTCCAAACCATTTACCTTATAGCAATGAGACTGGTCATTTTCAAACATACATCAGATCGTGTTCCTCTCCTATTTGAAAAAGAGTGACTTCCTATTACACAGTGGACAAATCCAAACTCTTAACTATATCCTAGAAAATCTCAGTGATCAGTCCCCTGCCTAACTACCCAATCTCATCTACCATAATTTCCTACCCTTGTTCACTGTGTTCCCACCACAACATTTTTCTGATTAGCTTACCACCAAGGGTTCTCAAGCTGTTACCCCTGTTTAGAAAATTCCTTCTTCATATTTCCACATGGTTGGATCCTTCTCAACACCCAAATCTTGGCTCAAATTTCCCCTCTTAGAAAGGCCTCCTCCAAACACCTAAACTAAAGCAACTACTAAAGCTCTTTCATCTTCTTTCTGGCATTTATTTCTGTTATTACCTTGATTTGTATGTTTACTTATTATCTGTGTCCCATCACTAGAATTTCATGTCCAAGAAAGTAACAACCTGGTTTGCATCATTCACTGCTCTCAGAACAGTGTCTGATACTTAAAAGACATCACAAAATACTCAATAAGTGCTTAAGAGTAGGCTTCATGAAAGAAGCAGAATATGTGTTGATTCTTGAAGGAAGAGTAAGATCTTAGAAAGCAAAATATCCACTCTATAAAAATAGTTTGGCAGTTTCTTCTAAAACTAAAAATTATCTTACCACGTATATTAGTATTCTATTCATGCTATGACAAATTACTACAAACTTCATGGATTAAAACAACAAAAATTTATTATCTATAGTGCTGGAGGTCAGAAGTAAGAAATAGATTGTACGAGTTAAGATCAAGGTGTCATCAGGGCTGTGTTTCTTCTAGAATCGTTAGGGGAGAATCTGTCTCTCACCTTTTCTAGCTTCCAGAAACCACCCACATTACTTGGCTCATGCTCCCTTTCTCTATCTTCAAAGCCAGAAGGGCATCATCTTTTAATATCTCTGACCCTGATCCTCTTGCCTCCCTCCCATAAGAACACTTTTTATCACTTTGGGCGCATGAAGGTAACCCAGGAAAATCTCTCTTCCTCAAGATCCATAATTTTTTTCCACATATACAAAGTCCTTTGTGTCATGTAAAGTAACATATTCACAAGTTCTAGGGATTGGTGCATGGAACTCTTTGAAGGACCATTATTTTACCTACCACATTATACAATCCAGTAATTGTGCTCTTGAGCATTTATCCCAGAAAAAAATCATGCAAAAGTCTCTACATGAAGGTTCATAGCAACTTTATCCATAATAGCCCCAGGCAAAATAATTCAGATATCTTTCAAAAGGTTAATGGTTAAACAAACCGGGGCAAACGGTGGTATATCCGTATCATGGAGTACTATGCAGCAAAACAAATACAACTATTGATACATAAAACAAGTTGGATGGAACTCAAAGGAGTTATGTGAATGAAAAAAAACAAAGCCAGTCTTTCAAGTTACCTATTCTATGATTCTCTCTCTATATAACATTCTTGAAATAACAAAACTATAAGGAAAGAAAACAGATCTGTGGTTACCAGATTAGAAATTTCAAGGTAGCTATAGTTATAAAAGGGTAGCATGAGGGAGACTTGTGCTGACTGAATATTTTTGCAACTTGATTGAGGTGGTAGTTACACAAAGCTACATATGTGCCATAATGGCATAGAACTATGCACACACACTCACACAAATACATGTATGAATGGGGAAATCTGAATAAGAGCCATGGGTTGTACCAAGGTAAATTTCCTCATTTTGATATTGGACTATAATTATGTAAGATGTCAAAATTAGAGGAGGTGATATGAAGGTTGCATGGTACCTCCCTGTACATTTCTTTGAAACATCGTATGAATCTATAGTTATCTCAAAATAAAAAGTTAAAAGAAAAAAGGAAGAGATGTGATGCTATTCTTGGTGGCAAGAATAGGGTTATAGGCCATTTTTATATCATTTAGTTTTCCTAACCCTTATCCTAGACAATAGGATTGCCCTATCCTAGGACAATAGATTATCCTAGAGTGGACACCCAACCAAGCTGGGAAAGTAAAATTCTCTCTCACATAGTACTTGTATTGCAAGACATCGTTTGTTTATCAAGTTAAAATTTATTAGAAATGTTTGCTTCTCTTGCGGAACACTCTCAGAACAAGTTACTCACAATCCAAAGTTTTACTGTATATAGACATAGATAGATATCTTCGACATGTGTTAGAACTTATTTAATAATTGTATTTCAAAAACTTAATATCACAGACTTAGGAAACCCAGAGCTGCTTTATTTCCTATAGTTATCAACAAAGCTGAGGTTAAAAAAAAGAAAGATTAGAAATAACAATTGTTTCCCAATTCCATCTCCAATTCCAATGTACTATTAAGGACTCAAACTTTTACAGAGCTTAGCCACAGTCTGGCTATGAAGTAGAGGGGAGTTGTTTAAGATAAACAGTAAACAGTTTGATAAATCACTTACTGCTTTTTAATTCAGACATAAGTCATTACTTCAAGGACTCTCAATAATTGGCATTCAAAAGTGATCGGATTGCTTTCACTGTAATAACTAATTTAAATGCAGGGCGCCTGTGTGGCTCCACCACTGGTTGAGCCTCCAACTCTGGGTTTCACAGTTGGTGAGTTCAAACCCCTCCTGGGACTCCGTGCTGACAGCACGGAACCTGCTTGGAATTCTCTGTCTCCTTCTCTCTCTCCCCCTCCTCCACTTGTACACACACTCTCCATCTCTCAAAATAAATAAACATTAAGAAAAATACATGTTTAAAAAATAACAATAATAATTAATTTAAATGCCTAAATTAAGCGAAATTTATCTCAGCATTCTACGTAAATTCACTCAGAAAACTAAACGGTCAAATTGCCTTTGAGCGGAAGCCATGGAAAAACTTCAGAGAAAAGATCGTTATTTGATAAAATAAAGATCACAGGAACAGTTATCTTCAGTTTACTTCCCAATTTGTTTCCTAGATGTCTCATCACTGAAACCAAACGAAAGAAGTTTAAGATTCGAGTTGGTCTTGTGCCTCAGCCTCTAATGCTTCCACTTCCCCTGCCTCTGTGTCTTCCTGCAAGTGAACCCTGTCCAGAGACTCACTTGCTCTTTCATGTTCCTGATTGTTCCTAATAGGTGATGTGGAAGCATCATAGCGTGACTTTCCCTGGCTATTACTCAATACCTGTGCGTGATGACAACATTCACAAAACACAGGGTGGGGTATATTTTACATGCTCTTGAAGGAGTGTTTTCCACTTACACAGTACTCAGAAAGAAGCCAGAAGAAAGGCCAATTGGGTAAACAATCTTTCTCTGTAAGCAAAAAACAGTTGGAGATGATGCAAAGGGGAAGAATGTTTCTCTCACCCACACCCTGAAACCTACCACTTAAAATGTAAATTTTCTGTAACATTCTCATGGTGTATTTCATATAGACTTGACAACACTATTGAGTAATGTGCTAAACATCAGGCTACTGAAACGCTGTTTAAGTTGGAAGAAGCCTGCTTCAAAGACAGAGAATGAGAGCCTTGGAATCTCAGAAACACTGTAATTGTATTAAAGCTCCAACTTTGGGGAATTGAACATCAAATAGATTGCTGTGGCTGCCCCTTATCGCGTATTAATTCTCTTTACTTATTTAAAAGGTGATATGTATCAAAAATATTCTTAATAAAGTGAATTAGCATAAATAGATTAACTCAGAACGTGACTTCTATTTTATGTTTAAAAATTTATGGCATCACTTGAAATAGCCAGAGATATTCATGGGAATTATAAAACAATTGTGAATTTCTAGACTAAATTACTGAGATCTTACAAGTCCAGAACATGACTTTTCACATTCCTGATGATAATAACATGGTGGTGAACTGGCTAGATGCTTACCGCCAGGGCATGGACTTTGCAGTCAGGCGAACCCGGGCTCTTCCAATGTCAGCAGTGTGCTTACTAAGAGTCCCATGTTCCTCACCTTTAAAAAGGTAAAATGGAGACAGTTATGCCTACAGTAACTCTAGGCAAATGACTTTTTTTTTTTGGTTTTTGGTTATTTGTTTTTTATTTTTATTTACTTTTTTCTTTCTTTTCTTTTTTTTTTTTTCTTTTGAAAGAGAGAGAGAAAGAGAGAAAGAGAAATAGTCCCAAGAAGGCTCCACGTTCAGCATGGAGCCGCACCTGGGGCTCGATCCCACAACCCCTCATGACCTGAGCCAAAATCACGAGTCGGACACTCAACTGACTAAGCCACACAGGCACCCCCTCTTTTTTTTTTTTTTTAATTTCTCCATTTATATAATAAATAATGTTAATGATAGCATTGCACTGAGAAAATAAATCAGAAACAGTGGAAGTAATTTGAGGTTTTAACATTGACTTTCTGTGACATGAAGAATCAGAAATCTCTCTGAGTTTCATTTTCTTCAGTTTAGAGAAGGCTACATCATCTCACATCTGACTCCTAAGTTAACTTAATAACTACACATCCTGTAGTAACAATATACTTCTTGCTTTCTCAGTCAGTTTAATGGGTATAAGAGACTGGGTATAAGAAGCTTTACAGCTCAGGAAATGTCTATCCTGTCATACTATTATAAGAAACATTACTTAAAGTGTTTTTTACCTTGGTAGTTGTGGTAGACAGAATCATGCCCCCCACCTCCCCAAAGTTGTCCAAGTACTAATTACCGGAATCTGTCATATATTACATAACAAAGGCTGTGGATGGAATGAAGGTTGCTAATCATCTGACCTTAAAATAGAGATCATCCTGGATTACCTAATGTAATCATAAGAGACCTTTTATGTGAAAGAAGGAGGCAGAAGAGTCAGTGTCAGAGTGATGCAATATAAGACTTGACCAGCTATTACTGAAGATGGAAGAGAACCAAGGATGCAGGAACTTGGGAAGCCTGTATAGCTGGAAAGGGCAAGAAAACCTCTTCTCCCCTAGAGCCTCCAGAAAGGAAGGCACACCTCAATTTTAGCTCAGTGTGACCCATTTAGGACTTCCAAACTATAGCTCTGTGAGATAATAAATTCGAATTGTTACAGCAGCTGTAGGAAACTAACATAGTAGTTGCTGAGGACAGAGAAGAATAGATGGGGAGTAATGGGACCCACCTCTTATACTGGGAAGTATGTATATAAATTACTCAACATAGATACATACAGATGGTCCCCCACCTACAATGATTCAACTTAATGATTTTTCAACCTTAATGATAGTGCAACAGTGATGTGCATTCACGAGGAATTGTACTTCAAGTTATGAATTTTGATATTTTCCTGAGCGATGCTCTCTTGTGATGCTAGGCAGCAGCAGTGAGCTACAGCTCTCAGATGTAATCACATTATAAGTCAAGAAGGATTTGTACAACAAATTGTATATTGCATGTCGAACTCAGTCTCTTTCTAGTACATGTTAATGTTATGGTCCCTTTTGGACCTGCTTCTTGTATCCCACAGACTGGGAGGGTATGTGCTTCTTGCTTCAAGGCCCTTGTTATTTGTCTTAGGTCTTGTCTTACACATTTGCTTTAAGTATAATCTTTAAGCTCATATAATCATCAGTGAATTGAATTTCTTCAGAGATTTCCCCCTTTTTTGGATTCTTGCTGCAAAAACTGGCTGTAGAGTTGATCATCTTTCTTACCTTTAGGCTCACTCTGCTATTTCTCTTTCAGATCAATCCCAGTCTATGTGTATGAATTGGAGGAGATTTTAAAGAACAATGTAGAATTTCTTTCTTGAAATTAAAATTGAAGATGAAAGCTTCTATGTTTATTGTAGCATTATTTATAATAGCCAAGGTATGGAAGCAACTCAGGTGTCCAACGATAGATGAATGGATAAAGAAGATGTGTATATATACATGGTGGAATATTACTCAGCCATAAAAAAGAGATCTTGCCATTTGTGTCAACATGGATGGACCTAGAGGGTATTGTGCTAAGTGAAATAAGTCAGACAAAGAACAATATCATACAATGTTACTTGTATGTGGAATCTAGTATATGTGCTGCCGAAGCGAGCACACTTGTATGTGGAATCTAAAAACCAAAACGAATAAACAAAGCAACCAAAAGCAGAAATAGACCCATAAATACAGAGAACAAACTGATGGTTGCCAGAGGGGAGGATGGGCAATGTGGGTGAAGGGGAGTGGGGGGAGTAGGAGATACAGCCTTCCAGTTATGGAATGAATAAGTCATGGGATAAAAGGCACAGCACAGGGAATATAGTCAACAGCATTGCATGGTAGCAGATGGTAGCTATACTTGTGATGAGCATAGCATAGTACAGAGTTGTTGAATCACTATTATATATCTGAAACTAATGTCACATTATGTGTCAACTATACTTCAATTTTTAAAAAATTGAAAATGAAAGCCTCCACTTGTCCACTTGCAAAATAAGTGCAACACTGCTAAATTTCATCCTTTCCCCAACATAATGTCAACTCATAATGAGAAAAAAACTGATTAGATACTTCATGCCCAATATCCTGCAGCTTTAATAAGGTTCAGAAGGAGGCAAGTCAAACTGGGCATAGTGAAATTAAAAAAAAAAAAGTTTTTAGAGTCAGAAAAAAATTGTGTGTTCAATAAATTTACCTCTCTTCAACTCTTCCTTATTATTCTGTGTTTTACTGAGTCTTTTTTACAGAATTATGGTATTCATTTTTCTATTCTTAGCATGAAGCTCAGTACTTTAAACATCCAAAATACCTCTTACTAGCTTTTTTTTGAGTGGATATGCCACATCTACCCTCAAAAGAGACTTTCAAACCAGAGAACTACATCACTCTGGTAAGATAGAGTCTTACCATAGTCTGTCATAGTGCTGTCATAGGCCGTTTTTAAATCTGATAAAAGCTATGCACCTAAAATAAAAAAATAGGAACAACACAAAAATTGTCATACAGTTTCAAATAGTTCTTTAAGCTCTTGAACATGACCCAAGTTAAGAATCTTAGGGCAGTGGATTATTCTGTAGTAGAAGGGAATCTGTAACAACTTAGAAAAGACTGAGGAGACATATACAAGGAGGGAAGGTAGTAATGTCCCAGAAAATGCTTTCAACTGAGAATCAAGTTTTCCCATGAATTTACTTAACAAGTTATTTAAAAGGTTTTTGGTAGAAAACACCAAAGGAAAGCTTTATCTTCATAATTTTTAGGTCTCTTTTAATCTTGAGTTTCCCATCATTCTCTATGGATCTTTTTCTGGTTTATAAAGCAAGGGGGGTGCTGTTATGCACTGAATGTATCTTCCCCAAATCCGTATGTTGAAGTTCTAACCCCAAGTGTGGCTATAGTTGAAGATGGTGCCTCTAAGTGAGTCATTAAAGTTAAGCAAAGTCATGAAGTTGGGGTCCTGATCTAATAGGATTATCTCTAGTTGGTACATCCAGAAATGGAATATTATTCAGTGCTAAAAAGAAAGGAGTTATGAAGCCATGAAAAGACATGGACAAACCTTAAATGCGTATTGCTAAGTGAGAAGGTGGCCTTCTATAAATCAGGAAGAGAACCTTTATAAGTAACCGACTTGGCTGGCACTTTGACCTTGAACAGTGAGAAATAAATTTCTGTTGTTTAAAAGACTCAGTCTGTAGTATTTTGTTATGGCAGCCCAAGCTGACTAATACAGTTGGAAAAACCCTGAGATTTTAGTATAGTTCCTATTTCCATAATGGAATGAATCTCTACTTAGTCAAATCTAGGTCCAAGAAGCAACTATAGATGGGCATACCTTGCATCTTTTGCAAAATTATTCCTTGGGGTGTCCCATATTAGGTTTCCTATATTTGGTAGACTTTACTGTCTCTGAATATACCTTTACCAATGAGAAAAAAAAATGTGTGCCATATTGATTAATTATTTAGAAAGAAGGATGCATCATTTAAAATGCCTTTGAATGTATCACTTTAACACAGTGGTCTGAATATAGCAATGTGAATCACTATCTTTCCTTGGCATTTTTTTTAATTAAAAAAATTTTTTTTAATGTTTATTTTTGAGAGAGAGACAGAGAGAGACAGAGCACAAGTGGGAGAGGGGTAGAGAGAGAGGAAGACACAGAGCTGTCAGCAGAGGTCCAGTCAGGAGGCCCAAACTCAGGAACAGCAAGATCATGACCTGAGCTGAAGTTGGTCACTTAACCAACTGAGCCACCCAGGCACCTCTATTCCTTGTCATTTGTAATCAAAAAGTTGACGAACAGGATTGTTCTTGCATCCACAGTCATGGCTAGGTTAGGACATTCTAATGTCTTAAATGAAGGAAAATATGATAACTTGAAAAAAAAGATTATTTTTACAGAAAATGTACCAATAAAATGAACACATTTAACAAATATTCTATCAGGTGCCTCCTCTTTCAGTTACTTGATAGTTATCTTAAAATCCTTTTTTTCCTTTGCATTATGAGACAATAAACCTAAAAACAAAAGATTTTTAAATCACTGAAAACACATCCTTGAACCATGCCAACAACTTTTGTGTTGTAAAATGGTTTCAACAATTACATGTTCACCTCTCTAAATTTTTTTTTTAATTTTAGGTAGAAAACTTTCATTAAAAATTTTCCAATCTAGGGGCGCCTGGGTGGCTCAGTTAGGTAAGCATCTGACTGTGGATCTCAGCTCAGGTTATGATCTCACATACATCGAACCTTGTATCAGGCTCTGGGCTGACAGTGTGGAGCCTGCTTGGGATTCTCTGTCTCCCTCTTTCTCTGTCCCTCCCTTGCTCACACTCTCTTTCTCTTAAAAAGAAATATACTTTAATTTTATTAAAAAAAACATTTCCAATCCAATGACAAAAATTGTTCAACTTCGTGAATAAAGTAGTAAGCCTGTAGAATAGCTACATATCATGGACATTCACTATATCACTCAAAATAAAACATATGGGGGGGGGCACCTGGGTGGCTCAGTCAGTTGAATGTCCAACTTTGGCTCAGGTCATGATCTTGT